TTTTTGAATGTAAAATTTTGTAAAACACCAATATTGTACTAAGAATTTTATTCGATTTAATCAATTTTAAATTATGTACTTAAATGTTTTGATTATTTAAAATACTCAGCAAATTGTTTTAAATTAAATTTTATGACCATAACAACCATTATATTATAATACATTATATAATTGCATTATATTATAATGAGCATGTGGTTTTGAATGCATTAAGCTTTAACAAACATGTATAATAAATTATTTAATTAATTTTACGAAAAATAATTTTCCAATTTTTTTGATAAAGTTTTTAGTTCATTAAATTTGATAAATAACAAAAAGCACATGCACAGAACATTACACTTAACCCTCGATTTACACGGTACTCTATTTACACGGTTTCTGTTTAACACGGTCGGAGAAATGGGGAAAAACCTCAATTTACACGACACTATTTCGGTTTAGCACGGTCACCTAAATTAAAAAAAAAATGTTTTCAAGATTTTAAACCATTGCTAAGTAGCACTTTTTTATTTAACAGTAAACTTAAACAGTTGAATAAATTATGTATGTACAAAAAAATAGTTTTCAAGGAAGAATTTTTTTTTAAATTTAAGTAGGCGTAGGATTTTAAACCGTTGCTAGCTAGCACTTTATTCTAACTTGAATACATTGTTGAAAAAATTATGTGTACATATTTCAGTACATATTTCTTTTCGAAAGTGTAATATTTAAAAGTAAGTGTTCTTCAATCATAAATGGCTGTTATATTCGGTAAGAGTTCATAATAAAAAAAAATCTATCTATTTTTTATATTATGTATTTGTTTTAAGAATTTCCGGCAAGAAACAAGAGAAGAGCTGTCGTGTTTCTAACAAGTGAAGATGATACAGAATGAACTTTTTAATTTTTCTTATTGCTTTTCAAATTAAAATGAACTTTTTTTAAATTTTTGTTTGTTAGTTTATTAATAATAATAAAACAAGTGATTATACAAAAATAAATAACATGGTTTCATTATTTCCTTTTGAGGAATATTTAATGAATTCTCTATTGATATCATACCTATTGCGGACTTGTAAGATATGTACATATATCTCTAATTTTCAATATTAAAAAAATGTGGATTCGGTTTGCACGATTTTCGATTTACACGGTGGTTTTGAGGAACCAATCTACCGTGTAAATCGAGGGTTGGATGTATACATATAAATATTTATAATATGAACAAAATTTATAAAATAACAAAACAATATTAAGGATACCTAGATAAACAGGTTAGGTGTTAATCCGCAATATAATAAGTTTAGAATGTAAAAACTACGAAGTGTTTAGGTTAAGAAGAAAATTTGTTCTTTATGTTTATTTATGTCTTTATGTATTATCAGTGAGCTTATTCTGCTATCGACGCACTGCATATTTGATCGCAACTGAATTTGTAATACACTTATAATCAAATCGGAAACAAGATTTTTAATTATAGTCCTATATTAAGGTAAAATTTTTGATTATATATGGTTATGCTTAATTATTGGAACGGTAAGTAATGAATCGACTCCGATAATAATTCTGATAATTCTAATATAATTATTGTTTAGTTATGTGGTAGATATTATGTTGCAGACTTTATTGAGCAATCTTTTTCAATTCCAATTCAAAATTGTAATAATACGATACAAATATACTGCTTCCCTTGTGGGTGGTATTTGTTGAATTTGATCTAATACTCAAAAGTTACGACAGGCACATTGTAAATTGCAATTATGCAAATGCTGTTTTCTAATTTGAAAACAATTTAAAAATATACTCGTATAAAGTCATTCGTTCATACTAATTTATTTCTACAAATAAGAAAATATAAACGAAAGGAATTTTTTTGGATAAACGATTTACTGAAAATTGAGTTTGAAGAGAGATTTACTGAAAATTGAGTTTGAAGAGAGATTTACTGAAAATTGAGTTTGAAGAGTGATTTACTGAAAATTGAGTTTGAAGAGTGATTTACTGAAAATTGAGTTTGAAGTGAGTATATTTCAAGTTATGTATATGTTATTAATGTTTAAAATATACGTTATACGAGTATTAGGTATAAGCTAAATAAGACATATATTAAATATACAGAAACTAATAAAAATAGTAATTCTCTAAAGATTTCTTCTCTCTTGTAATACATAAAGTCTAAATAAAAGACGCAGTTCAAATTATCATTTTAAAAGCATTTTATCAGAAAAACATATTTGATCTTTTATCATTAATAGATCAAGCATTCTTCTATTTGAAATAGAGGTCGAAAATTGTATGGAAAATAATATTTAGAATAATAGAAAAACCATTAATAAATTCTTTTATCTTCGGGCGTACTATAATAATTTTCCATATGGATAACTACCTACATACATTAATCTATAGACAATTAAATCTTTGGTCACGTGCCAGTTTCTTGTTTCTTTTTTTTGAATCTTTTAAGAGTACAATAATTTTTTTTTAAAATTATAAAAAGAAAAAATTTCTGATTAATATGAAGTGTCGATGAATTGATTCGTTTTCTTACAATAGTCAAAGAGAAATATTCAAAAAATAGAGTTGGGAAAATACAAAACTGTTAATTAAATTATGGTATATATCGACTATTTATTGTTAAAAACAAAACAAGTTATCTACATAGATTTCAATGGCATTATGACGTAAAATCATGTTTTAATGACATTTTCAAAATTTTTTTTTGTATGACAAGAAATTTATACTCTTATAAAGGTATTGAACTTGCTATCGAACAAACATATAAGAAGACCGTGAGATTGCTCTCTCATTGCATATTATTGAAAATTGTCATATATTCAACGAAATCTTATATACTTTTTAATGCCTTCTTGACAAGTTGAAAAACTATCTTAATAATTTACTTATACTCGTACGTATATTGTGAATGGAAAATCAAAATTTTAAATCTATTGTACATGCATACTATTGTACATGTGAAAAAAAAAATATTTTTTTTTGAAAAATTATTTTAACAAAATTATTTTGTTATTATATCATTTGATTTGGTTGTGAAAAGACATGAAGTCAACATTAATTTTAATAATTTTAGTTGCAATTTTTAAAAGTAAGTTTTTTGAGTTGAAGTTTACCAAAGTTCAAAAAAATTATATTAAAATATTACTTTAGTAATTTCAAAAAAAAAAAATTAAAAACAATAGCAAATAAATTTTAAAAAGAAGTTAAAGTGTAAAATGTGCAAAAAAAAAATTAAGAAGCGAAGATATGGGGTCGAAACATTGAAAAAATAATTAAAATAAAATATGTTCAAAAAAATTAAAAATTTTTAATCCTTATTGTTCAGTATTATGGATCATTCTTTTTCGAAATGAAATAACTTATAAAAATATCAGGACTATCGTGAATACGAGAAAAATTTAAGTTCAAATTAAAAAAAAAACAACAAAAACAATGATTTTCGCAACAAATTAATTATAATTAAATTTATGTTGTTCTTCTGATTTTGTTACTCGTTACTCCTGTCTCGAGTATGGAAAAAAATTTTCTTCTAACGAAATGAAGCGTTTATTAGTGTCTAAAAGCCCCTAAAATTTTAAGTTTCTACAGGCTGGGGTCTAGAAGAAACTTTTACTTATCTCCCCCCCTCTAGAAGAGGTTCTACGGAAATAAGTTTCTAGTAAAGATCTATGTACGTATTAAATTTAAGCTTTCTATCTTTAAAGGTGTAGAAGTTTTGTAAACAAAAAAGTGTGCACGGACGGACTGGCGGACGCACGAACAGAGTGAAACTAATAAACACTTTTTTTCAAAAAATTTTTGGAAAAGTGCTAAAAAATATAATATCACAATTTATTTATGTAACATTTTTGCTAAGAAAATTGTTGTTATTTAAAACTTTAAATATAAAATCTAAATAATGTAATTTATTGCAATTTATATAATGGCTCTTATTGTAGAAAAAATTAATATAATTTTAAAAATGAAAATAGATTAAAAATTTTTAACTGAAAACATCTAAAATATATTTCATACAGATTTGCAGAATAATATGCAAAAATATATATTAGGCAGATTTTCGCATTATATCATAGAAATTTTTCTATTACACCTAGATTTCCTGTAGAAACTGCATATTTATAGAAATCAGTTTGCCCGATATTATAAAATATTATCCAACAATAATAAGTTTTTGTGAAACATATAAGAAAATTTACTAGTTGTATATCAAATTGGAGAATATGGAAAGCGAATTGTGGGTTCGATTCTAAATTTTTTTTTATAAATTTCTGTTAAAGAAAATCTGTCAATATTGATTAATCTGACAATCTGTTTCATTAACACAATCTTCCAATGTACACAATTTGAATAAAATTAAAAGAGAAACAAACAAGAAAATTTTAAATGTTTAATTTAATGGGTCAGTGTATTTCTTCTTTATAAATATAGCTAAATAATTTCTGATTAGTTTATATGATTTTTTTTCATTTAAAATAATAATAAATAATTAATATACTTAATCGTTTATCCAAAGAGTTGGTAACATTTTTAATAAAGATTAATTTATAATTTCGAATAAATAGTTTAGGTTAGGGTGGTAACATTTTATTTAGAATGTGTCACATACTTATTATAACAAAATTTGTGGTAATTATTGAAATTATTTTAAAGTTCTGATTTTTAAAATTCAATGTTTCTTTGCCTTCAATTATAAACCAAAAATAAAATACCGTAACTTTAAATAAATAATAAGACTATACATAATTCCGAAATTTATTTTTCTTTTTAGGTCAGATCGTTCGTACGCAGTTCTGTTTCACATATCCAGATCCTTGGACTAATGTTCGAATATATTTCTATCATGGGTAAATTTCTTTAATTTTGAATCAAAACCTTTTTAAGTACATATGTGATTTTATTTTAGCGATGAAAATTTACAGAACGTATCATATCAATTAAAAGATGCAAATCAACTTTTAGAGAATGCAGATTTTAATATTGAACATATAACAACTTTATATGTACATGGTTATACAGAAACCCAAGAACGTTATAGTATACCAACATTGAAGAGAGCTTATAGCTATCGCAAAAATTATAATTTTATAACTTTAGATTACGCTTCATATTCTAAGGCTGATAATATGGTATTATCTTTTCCTAGGGCTGTTAATGCTGTCTCATATGTAAGTACATGTGTGCGTATAAAATTTTTAATTTTTCTGAAATTCTATACCCTTTTTGTTGTTTTTAGCTAACTCCGTTTGTTTCACAAGCATTAATAAAACTTTTTAATGCTGGATTGCCAATTGAAAAATTTCATTTGATAGGTCATTCAATAGGAGGACAGTTCGTAGGTTATATAGGAAGAAATATAATTGCACAAACCAATGGTACAAAAGTATTAAATAGGTTTGTAAATTATATTTTAATTATGTGAAAACAAATACTGATATTAAGATAACAACACTTTTCAAATTTATTATAAGAATATCTTCATTAGACCCAGCATACCCAGGATTCTCTTCTTTTTCGTTTATGGAAACAATAAGTTCAAATGATGCTAAATTTGTTGATGTCATACATACAGATGCATAGTAAGTTTTATGAAGAATTGTAGATTGTTTCGAAAATTTAACTTGAAATTATTGAAAATTTAGTGAATTCAAAAGAAATCTTATAAATTTTATATATAAAATATAAAATTGTAAAAATATAATTATAAATTTTTTAAATTTAAATTTTATATTATTAAATAAAAATTCAATTACTTTTATAGTGTTTTTGGTGCTCCGCTTCAAACTGGTAGTGTAGATTTTTGGCCAAATGGAGGTAAAGCATTACAACCAGGATGTCCTCCGCGCAATTTACTTGTACTAGATACAAATGGTTTGTTTACACATAAATTAAAATCAAAATTTTCATAATTTATATCATTTTTGTTTTTGAATTTCATTAGATTTTTGTAGTCATTGGAGATCATGGAAATATTGGGCTGAAAGTGTTGCAAATTTATATCCAGAAAAATTTGTAGCATATAAAGCAAATACATATTCTGAATTTTTAACTAGACCATTATCTTTCTATCAAACTAATGAAATCACATTAATGGGATTACAAGCTTCAAGAAGGCAAATAATTTATCAATTTTTGTTCTTTTAATTTTAAAAAATTATCAAAAATAAATTGATTTTTTTCTTTTTTCACAGTTCTAGGGGAAATTATTATTTATATACAAATGATGAGAAACCTTTTGCAAGAACACTTACTTTAAATGCTGGATTGAAATAAAATAATTATGCATTTTTATGGAAATTACTAAATAAAATTTTAAAAATATATTTATTTTTTTTTGAGAGGGCTTAACAATTAATATACTATTTGAATTATATTTTAAAATAAAGTTAATAAAATAAATATTTTAAATAAATTTTTAATTGTTTATTTAATAATTTATTTATTTATATTATTTTATATATATAGAGAAATATTTAAATAATCTTTTAAAGTTTTCAAGTTAATAAATATCTTGTTGTGAAATTGACATTCACAAATATTTCTGAGATGTGATTATATTACTTTTTAAGTAGTATTGTATAGTTACTTGAGCGTTAATCTCGATTCACTTATTCTCAATTAAATAATATTTTGTAGCAATTTTTAAATAAAACAGCTATATTATAAAAGCGGACTAATTAAGACATACACGTGCTTATAAAACATATTTAAATACCTTGACTTACAAAATTTAGTGATTCGGTATTAACACATAATTCACAATTAATAGTTGAATTGTTTAATAATACCGTGTTACTGCATTTTGGAAGACAAAGATAATAATGAAAAAAACTAGAATGAATAATTTAATCAAATAAATAAATATAATTTAATTTCATATGGATGTAAGCAGGACACTTGTTATAGAAAAGGGTTAACATAATTCTTGTTTAACCAAGTATTAGTCTAACTTAGTGTTGTCTTTTATGTTTTCTATTCAAAAAAAAACATTAACAATTATAAATAATAAAGAGTACTGTAAATACTCGTAATCTTCTGTTATTTTTCCTATTTTAAAAAAAATCTTTAATTAAATCAGTTTTAATGAAAAATTTTTAATCCAATTTTTATTTGTTCATTCTTAATTTCAATATTTCTTTAGTACACGTATTTAAAAATTAATTTCTATAATTTTAAATGTGTGAACATTATTTATTAATTCTTATTTAAACAAGTGACTTTGCAATATTTTAAATTTTTTTTCAAAATATTTATTTGCAAAAGGGTCTGTACACACTATTAATTCTCTTTAATTATAAAGTCTTTAGACACTGTTATACTTAAACATATGAGACAATTATAAAAGTCGGTGACGACAATTTTCAGGAATTTAGTAGCATTTACATGATAAACATACAAAACAAGCCCCAATTCAAGGAAAATTGAAAAATGTATGTACCTGACCAAAAGTACCTTTAAATGTTGACGTGAAAAGTTTAAGATTAAACATGTACGTACATATGAAAAACTTAATTGAAATCTGAAATGTAGCTGCAACAATATATTACTACTGGATGTAATTTAAAAGGAATTCAGAAATATTAAATTGTTTTTATTTTTTTAATTGTTAATTTAATTGTAAAAATCATTTAGGTACATATGCATACATTTAATTTGTAAATCAGTTGTCAAAATAAAAAACAATCAATAACCAAATAAAATAAACAAAGTATAAAGGAGAAAGATATGATGTGATCAGCACATTACCGACCTAAGTGTGTCGGTAATGTGCTAATCATACCGCCTAGAAATACTTCGACTTATCTGAATAAATAAATAACATAAAATTTTTGTCAGTATATGATTTATACAAAATTGTAATCAGACATGAACTCATGTTCTTCTTCGGATTCATTATTAGAATTCATGTTATTTAATAGAAAGATTTGGCTACCACACTAGACAATATTAAACTAAAACTAAACAGTTATAAATTCTATATTTATACCTTCTGTGCTTATAACTTCAAGACAATATTTTTAAAATTTGAATACTTTTTGAATGTAAAATTTTGTAAAACACCAATATTGTACTAAGAATTTTATTCGATTTAATCAATTTTAAATTATGTACTTAAATGTTTTGATTATTTAAAACACTCGGCAAATTGTTTTAAATTAAATTTTATGACCATAACAACCATTATATTATAATACACTATATAATTGCATTATATTATAATGAGCATGTGGTTTTGAATGCATTAAGCTTTAACAAACATGTATAATAAATTATTTAATTAATTTTACGAAAAATAATTTTCCAATTTTTTTGATAAAGTTTTTAGTTCATTAAATTTGACAAATAACAAAAAGCACATGCACAGAACATTATATAAATATTTATAATATGAACAAAATTTATAGAATAACAAAACAATATTAAGGATACCTAGATAAACAGGTAATCCGCAATATAATAAGTTTAGAATGTAAAAACTACGAAGTGTTTAGGTTAAGAAGAAAATTTGTTCTTTATGTTTGTTTATGTCTTTATGTATTGTCAGTGAGCTTATTCTGCTATCGACGCACTGCATATTTGATCGTAACTGAATTTATAATACACTTATAATCAAATCGGAAACAAGATTTTTAATTATCGTCCTATATTAAGGTAAAATTTTTGATTATATATGGTTATGTTTAATTATTGGAACGGTAAGTAATGAATCGACTCCGATAATAATTCTGATAATTCTAATATAATTATTGTTTAGTTTTGTGGTAGATATTATGTTGCAGACTTTATTGAGCAATCTTTTTCAATTCCAATTCAAAATTGTAATAATACGATACAAATATACTGCTTCCCTTGTGGGTGGTATTTGTTGAATTTGATCTAATACTCAAATGTTACGGCAGGCACATTATAAATTGCAATTATGCAAATGCTGTTTTCAAATTTGAAAACAATTTAAAAATATACTCGTATAAAGTCATTCGTTCATACTATTTGATTTCTACAAATAAGAAAATATAAACGAAGGGAATTTTTTTGGATAAACGATTTACTGAAAATTGAGTTTGAAGAGAGATTTACTGAAAATTGAGTTTGAAGAGTGATTTACTGAAAATTGAGTTTGAAGTGAGTATATTTCAAGTTATGTATATGTTATTAATGTTTAAAATATACGTTATATTAGGTATAAGCTTAATAAGATATATATTAAATATACAGAAACTAATAAAAATAGTAATTCTCTAAAGATTTCTTCTAATAATCGTAATTGTAGCTGTACGTATGTATATGACGATTATTTACATTAAAAACATTCTATAGGTTTGTGTGAAATCTTAACAGTTATAATATCTCTCTTGTAATACATAAAGTCTAAATAAAAGACGCAGTTCAAATTATCATTTTAAAAGCATTTTATCAGAAAAACATAATTGATCTTATATCATTAATAGATCAAGCATTCTTCTATTTGAAATAGAGGTCGAAAATTGTATGGAAAATAATATTTAGAATAATAGAAAAACCATTAATAAATTCTTTTATCTTCGGGCGTACTATAATAATTTTCCATATGGATAATCACCTACATACATTAATCTATAGACAATTAAATCTTTGGTCACGTGCCAGTTTCTTGTTTCTTTTTTTGAATCTTTTAAGAGTACAATAATTTTTTTTTAAAATTATAAAAAGAAAAAATTTCTGATTAATATGAAGTGTCGATGAATTGATTCGTTTTCTTACAATAGTCAAAGAGAAATATTCAAAAAATAGAGTTGGGAAAATACAAAACTGTTAATTAAATTATGGTATATATCGACTATTTATTGTTAAAAACAAAACAAGTTATTTACATAGATTTTAATGGCATTATGACGTAAAATCATGTTTTAATGACATTTTCAAAATTTTTTTTTGTATGACAAGAAATTTATACTCTTATAAAGGTATTGAACTTGCTATCGAACAAACATATAAGAAGACCGTGAGATTGCTCTCTCATTGCATATTATTGAAAATTGTCATATATTCAACGAAATCTTATATACTTTTTAATGCCTTCTTGACAAGTTGAAAAACTATCTTAATAATTTACTTACGTATATTGTGAATGGAAAATCAAAATTTTAAATCATGTAATAAAAAATTCATATGAGTTCATCTTGCATACTATTGTACATGTGAAAAAAAAAATATTTTTTTTTGAAAAATTATTTTAACAAAATTATTTTGTTATTATATCATTTGATTTGGTTGTGAAAAGACATGAAGTCAACATTAATTTTAATAATTTTAGTTGTAATTTTTAAAAGTAAGTTTTTTGAGTTGAAGTTTACCAAAGTTCAAAACAATTATATTAAAATATTACTTTAGTAATTTCAAAAAAAAAAAATTAAAAACAATAGCAAATAAATTTTAAAAAGAAGTTAAAGTGTAAAATGTGCAAAAAAAAAATTAAGAAGCGAAGATATGGGGTCGAAACATTGAAAAAATAATTAAAATAAAATATGTTCAAAAAAAACAAAAATTTTTAATCCTTATTGTTCAGTATTATGGATCATTCTTTTTCGAAATGAAATAACTTATAAAAATATCAGGACTATCGTGAATACGAGAAAAATTTAAGTTCAAATTAAAAAAAAAACAACAAAAACAATGATTTCCGCAACAAATTAATTATAATTAAATTTATGTTGTTCTTCTGATTTTGTTACTCGTTACTCCTGTCTCGAACCTAAACAATTTAAAATAAAGAAAGTAAAATTTCAATTTGGAAATCTCCCGTTTATGTAATCAAACAAAAATAATAAAATAAGAACATAAAAACTTTAGAACACCTGTAAAATTTTAATGATTTTTTATAAAAATAAAGTAGGGTCAAACCAATGGTTTGAATTGTAGCACTTTTCCCTTCAACAAGTTAAAATGCTGCTAATACTGTCTATGTACCTATCACACTATTAAAATTATTTTCATTCATAAACGAAACTATTTCTGGGATTGCACATATTTAGGATGAACGATTTATGCAGTGTTTGAAATAAAGCGAAAATTAATATAAAGTGGAGTTGACATAATGCTCGATTTTAAGGGTTAATTGTGTGAGTTAAAAAAAATAATTATATTTTTTAATGTCATGGAATTTACCGTTAGTTTTTTTCATTTATAGAAATTTTAAAAATCCTGCGGTTCGGAAATATAAGGTGTCAAAAATTGAAATTTTACAAATTTCAAGAGGCGATAACTTGAGAGGGGGTGGACATGGAAACAATTTTCTTCTAACGAAATGAAGCGTTTATTAGTGTCTAAAAGCCCCTAAAATTTTAAGTTTCTACAGGCTGGGGTCTAGAAGAAATTTTTACCTATCTCCCCCCCTCTAGAAAAAAGTATCCACGGACGGACTGGCGGACGCACGAACAGAGTGAAACTAATAAACACTTTTTTTCAAAAATTTTTTGGAAAAGTGCTAAAAAATATAATATCACAATTTATTTATGTAACATTTTTGCTAAGAAAATTGTTGTTATTTAAAACTTTAAATATAAAATCTAAATAATGTAATTTATTGCAATTTATATAATGGCTCTTATTGTAGAAAAAATTAATATAAATTTTAAAAATGAAAATAGATTAAAAATTTTTAACTGAAAACATCTAAAATATATTTCATACAGATTTGCAGAATAATATGCAAAAATATATATTAGGCAGATTTTCGCATTATATCATAGACATTTTTCTATTACACCTAGATTTCCTGTAGAAACTGCATATTTGTAGAAATCAGTTTGCCCGATATTATAAAATATTATCCAACAATAATAAGTTTTTGTGAAAAATATAAAAAAATTTACTAGTTGTATATCAAATTGGAGAATATGGAAAGCGAATTTTGGGGTTCGATTCTAAATTTTTTTTATAAATTTCTGTTAAAGAAAATCTGTTAATATTGATTAATCTGACAATCTGTTTCATTAACACAATCTTCCAATGTACACAATTTGAATAAAATTACAAAAGAAACAAACAAGAAAATTTTAAATGTTTCAGTACCGCTGTGAAAAGCTCCACAGCACTTATAATTTAATGGGTCAGTATATTTCTTCTTTATAAATATAGCTAAATAATTTCTGATCAGTTTATATGATTTTTTTTCATTTAAAATAATAATAAATAATTAATATACTTAATCGTTTATCCAAAGAGTTGGTAACATTTTTAATAAAGATTAATTTATAATTTCGAATAAATAGTTTAGGTTAGGGTGGTAACATTTTATTTAGAATGTGTCACATACTTATTATAACAAAATTTGTGGTAATTATTGAAATTATTTTAAAGTTCTGATTTTTAAAATTCAATGTTTCTTTGCCTTCAATTATAAACCAAAAATAAAATACCGTAACTTTAAATAAATAATAAGACTATACATAATTCCGAAATTTATTTTTCTTTTTAGGTCAGATCGTTCGTACGCAGTTCTGTTTCACATATCCAGATCCTTGGACTAATGTTCGAATATATTTCTATCATGGGTAAATTTCTTTAATTTTGAATCAAAACCTTTTTAAGTACATATGTGATTTTATTTTAGCGATGAAAATTTACAGAACGTATCATATCAATTAAAAGATGCAAATCAACTTTTAGAGAATGCAGATTTTAATATTGAACATATAACAACTTTATATGTACATGGTTATTCAGAAACCCAAGAACGTTATAGCATACCAACATTGAAGAGAGCTTATAGCTATCGCAAAAATTATAATTTTATAACTTTAGATTACGCTTCATATTGTAACCGTGATATAGCATTAGCTTATCCTAGGGCTGTTAATGCTGTCTCATATGTAAGTACATGTGTGCGTATAAAATTTTTAATTTTTCTGCAATTCTATACCCTTTTTGTTGTTTTTAGCTAACTCCGTTTGTTTCACAAGCATTAATAAAACTTTTTAATGCTGGATTGCCAATTGAAAAATTTCATTTGATAGGTCATTCAATAGGAGGACAGTTCGTAGGTTATATAGGAAGAAATATAATTGCACAAACCAATGGTACAAAAATATTAAATAGGTTTGTAAATTATATTTTAATTATATGAAAACAAATACTGATATTAAGATAACAACACTTTTCAAATTTATTATAAGAATATCTTCATTAGACCCAGCATACCCAGGATTCTCTTCTTTTTCGTTTATGGAAACAATAAGTTCAAATGATGCTAAATTTGTTGATGTCATTCATACAGATGCATAGTAAGTTTTATGAAGAATTGTAGATTGTTTCGAAAATTTAACTTGATATTATTGAAAATTTAGTGTATTCAAAAGAAATCTTATAAATTTTATATATAAAATTGTAAAAATATAATTATAGATTTTTTAAATTTAAATTTTATATTATTAAATAAAAATTCAATTATTTTTATAGTATTTTTGGTGCTCCGGTTCAAACTGGTAGTGTAGATTTTTGGCCAAATGGAGGTAAAGCATTACAACCAGGATGTCCTCCACTCAATTTACTTACACCAGATCCAAATGGTTTATTTACACATAAATTAAAATCAAAATTTTCATAATTTATATCATTTTTGTTTTTGAATTTCATTAGATTTTTGTAGTCATTGGAGATCATGGAAATATTGGGCTGAAAGTGTTGCAAATTTATATCCAGAAAAATTTGTAGCATATAAAGCAAATACATATTCTGAATTTTTAACTAGACCATTATCTTTCTATCAAACTAATGAAATCACATTAATGGGATTACAAGCTCCAAGAAGGCAAATAATTTATCAATTTTTGTTCTTTTAATTTGAAAAAATTATCAAAAATAAATTGATTTTTTTCTTTTTTCACAGTTCTAGGGGAAATTATTATTTATACACAAATGATGAGAAACCTTTTGCAAGAACACTTATTTTAAATGCTGGATTGAAATAAAATAATTATGCATTTTTATGAAAATTACTTAATAAAATTTTAAAAATATATTTATTTTTTTTTTTGAGAGGGCTTAACAATTAATATACTATTTGAATTATATTTTAAAATAAAGTTAATAAAATAAATATTTTAAATAAATTTTTAATTGTTTATTTAATAATTTATTTATTTATATTAATTTATATATATAGAGAAATATTTAAATAATCTTTTAAAGTTTTCAAGTTAATAAATATCTTGTTGTGAAATTGACATTCACAAATATTTCTGAGATGTGATTATATTACTTTTTAAGTAGTATTGTATAGTTACTTGAGCGTTAATCTCGATTCACTTATTCTCAATTAAATAATATTTTGTAGCAATTTTTAAATAAAACAGCTATATTATAAAAGCGGACTAATTAAGACATACACGTGCTTATAAAACATATTTAAATACCTTGACTTACAAAATTTAGTGATTCGGTATTAACACATAATTCACAATTAATAGTTGAATTGTTTAATAATACCGTGTTACTGCATTTTGGAAGACAAAGATAATAATGAAAAAAACTAGAATGAATAATTTAATCAAATAAATAAATATAAAGGGTTAACATAATTCTTGTTTAACCAAGTATTAGTCTAACTTAGTGTTGTCTTTTATGTTTTCTATTCAAAAAATAACATTAACAATTATAAATAATAAAGAGTACTGTAAATACTCGTAATCTTCTGTTATTTTTCCTATTTTAAAAAAAATCTTTAATTAAATCAGTTTTAATGAAAAATTTTTAATCCAATTTTTATTTGTTCATACTTAATTTCAATATTTCTTTAGTACACGTATTTAAAAATTAATTTCTATAATTTTAAATGTGTGAACATTATTTATTAATTCTTATTTAAACAAGTGGCTTTGCAATATTTTAAATTTTTTTTCAAAATATTTATTTGCAAAAGGGTCTGTACACAATACTAATTCCCTTTAATTATAAAGTTTTTAGACACTGTTATACTTAAACATATGAGACAATTATAAAAGTCGGTGACGACAATTTTCAGGAATTTAGTAGCATTTACATGATAAACATACAAAACAAGTCCCAATTCAAGGAAAATTGAAAAATGTATGTACCTGACCAAAAGTACCTTTAAATGTTGACGTGAAAAGTTTAAGATTAAACATGTACGTACATATGAAAAACTTAATTGAAATCTGAAATGTAGCTGCAACAATATATTACTACTGGATGTAATTTAAAAGGAATTCAGAAATATTAAATTGTTTTTATTTTTTTAATTGTTAATTTAATTGTAAAAATCATTTAGGTACATATGCATACATTTAATTTGTAAATCAGTTGTCAAAATAAAAAACAATCAATAACCAAGTAAAATAAACAAAGTATAAAGGAGAAAGATATGACGTGATCAGCACATTACCGACTTAAGTGTGTGGGTAATGTGCTAATCACATTTTCTGAATAATAAATTAATTTTTATTATATTTTAGAATTATTTTTATATTTACTATATAAGATTATGAAAATAGATTTTCTAAACACTTTTCTAAAATTTTGAAGAAAGCGAGTAACCTCCTTAACTCATCTAAAATAATTTACACGTGTTTTAACTGGATGATTTACAATTAGACATTGAATTTAAAAAGCGAACTCGTTAATAAGTTCAGACAAATGGACTCATATCATATATGTATATATAAAACCAGTTTACTTACGTTTGCTCAGCATAGAGAAATGGTATTCCTGTCGAAAATTTGCTCTTATGAAATTCGGTGTAATCACAATACCCATCTTATTGTCTGTAATATGGTCAGAATAGTTATTAAAACAATCAAATTCAACTTTATTATAATATGTATGTTTGTACTTATATAATTATTTTACTATACCTTTAAGATGACTTAAATGATGAAATCGTTTAAGATCAATAATAATATTATTTATATAACATAACATTTATTTGTATAACAAAAATATACAATATAAAATATCAAATATTAAACACATTTATATTTTGAATTATTTAAAATTTCATATTAAATAATTGAATTATTTGCTTATTAATTTTGTAAAATTATTAACTTTTTTATTTATGTTCATTGTAGGATAGTAAGTAAAATGTTATTATTTCCTATTGACATAAAAACTTTTTTTTATGTCAATTGACTGAAGTTTAATTGTCAATTAAATCGAATCTGAATAAGACGACAACCATTAATTATTTTATTGAGATGATTTTGATAATTTACTTACTAATTCTTGTAAAAACAGAACAAAAGCGGTGAACGGAAGCGGTGGACGTTTTCCATTGTTAATTCAGAACGGTAAAATGAACTGTTCAGTAACAGCAATCATGGAAACAGAAGTAAAACAGGATTAGGTTATTTTATCGCCGTTAATTAAGTTCACGGCCGTAATTTAGCTTGCTTCTGGGCAGTCCCATTTATAAATATGTGTATTCTATATATGAATTTTGACATTTCGTCGCATATATGAATTTTAACATTCTTAAACTGGGTCTTTTTCTGGTTACTTTTAATTTACATTTAATTTTGTTTTTAACGTTGTCGACATTTAAAAAAAAAAAACAACTACCAACTGTGATTAAAATTTACTCAGAAAAAATAAAAATTTTTGTTAGAATGCTTTTTAAAATTTAGTTACGGTGTAAAAATAGTAATATACAGAACCATAGTAATATAAGCAAGATATTTTTTGTATATTATAGAATGCACAATTAAAAAAAACACGACATATTATAAAGATATTCGTTTTTAAAGTTCGAATCAAGTAAATTTTACTTATGATTGGCAATCCAGGGTTAAAATAAAATATATCATAAACGAAGAAAAAAATTATAAATTGTATTTGATGAAAAATTTTATTGTTCAGTAAAATTTTTTTTAAATATTCCATAAAGTGCTTATTTTTTTTTATATATATGTTGGTTAGGATTAATAGATTTTGGCATTCTTTGATTTGGTTGTGATAAGATAAGTAATATAAGAAAATGAAGGCTTCTATAATTTTATCATTAATTATTGTCACAATTTTAAATTGTAAGTATACCTATTACTAATAATAATAGTAAAATAAATTAATTTTTAATATTTTATAATAAAACTTTTAGTGTAATGTTAGTATTTATCAAGTAAAATTTTAGTTAATTTAATAAAATATGGTGTACAAGCTTGAAATGGAATAAAATAATTTAGACACTCACTTCAAATTTATATTGTAGTATAATAAGAATTAACTTAATTTTTAAAATTTGATGAATTTGAAGTTACAACGAACAAACAAAAAGTTTAAACGATGTTTCAAAAATGAAGCTATTTTTATTAGTTGAACAATTATATATTATCATATATATACTATCATATATTGGCAGAATCTGTGGATTCCCAGTGATCACAAAAAACACTTAAAATCGCACTATCTCTTCTAGTTAAGCCAGAAAACGCGTTTAAAGTTTTACAAAAGATATTTTAATTATCTTCAAAAATATTTTTGCTACAGCCTATTATCATATATTGGCAGAATCTGTGGATTCCCAGTGATCACAAAAAACACGTAGAATCGCTCTATCTCTTTTAGTTTAGCCAGAATACGCGTTTACAGTTTTGCAAATGATTTTTTCAAATATTTCCACAAATATTTTTGCTACAACCTATTATCGTATATCGGCAGAATCTGTGCATTCCCAGTGATCACAAAAAACACGTAGAAGCGCTCTATCTCTTCTAGTTTAGCCAGAAAACGCGTTTACAGTTTTGCAAATGATTTTTTCAAATATTTCCACAAATATTTTTGCTACAACCTATTATCGTATATCGGCAGAATCTGTGCATTCCCAGTGATCACAAAAAACACGTAGAATCGCTCTATCTCTTCTAGTTTAGCCAGAAAACGCATTTAAAGTTTTGCAAAAAATTTTTTCAAATATCTCCAAAAATATTTTTGCTACAACCTATTATCGTATATCGGCAGAATCTGTGCATTCCCAGTGATCACAAAAAACACGTAGAATCGCTCTATCTCTTCTAGTTTAGCCAGAAAACGCATTTAAAATTTTGCAAAAGATTTTTTCAAATATCTCCAAAAATATTTTTGCTACAACCTATTATCATATATCGGCAGAATCTGTGCATTCCCAGTGATCACAAAAAACACGTAGAATCGCTCTATCTCTTTTAGTTTAGCCAGAATACGCGTTTACAGTTTTGCAAATGATTTTTTCAAATATCTCCACAAATATTTTTGCTACAACCTATTATCATATATCGGCAGAATCTGTGCATTCCCGGTGATCACAAAAAACACGTAGAATCGCTCTATCTCTTCTAGTTTAGCCAGAAAACGCATTTAAAATTTTGCAAAAGATTTTTTCAAATAGCTCCAAAAATATTTTTGCTACAACCTATTATCATATATCGCCAGAATCTGTGCATTCCCAGTGATTGCAAAAAACACGTAGAATCGCTCTATCTCTTCTAGTTTAGCCAGAAAACGCATTTAAAATTTTGCAAAAGATTTTTTCAAATATCTCCAAAAATATGTTTGCTACAACCTATTATCATATATCGGCAGAATCTGTGCATTCCCAGTGATCACAAAAAACACGTAGAGTCGCTCTATCTCTTTTAGTTTAGCCAGAATACGCGTTTACAGTTTTGCAAATGATTTTTTCAAATATCTCCACAAATATTTTTGCTACAACCTATTATCGTATATCGGCAGAATGATGCATTCCCAGTGATCACAAAAAACACGTAGAATCGCTCTATCTCTTCTAGTTTAGCCAGAAAACGCATTTAAAATTTTCCAAAAGATTTTTTCAAATATCTCCAAAAATATTTTTGCTACAACCTATTATCATATATCGGCAGAATCTGTGCATTCCCAATGATCACAAAAAACACGTAGAATCGCTCTATCTCTTCTAGTTTAGCCAGAAAACGCATTTAAAGTTTTGCAAAAAGTTTTTTCAAATATCTCCAAAAATATTTTTGCTACAACCTATTATCATATATCGGCAGAATCTGTGCATTCTCAGTGATCACAAAAAACACGTGGAATCGCTCTGTCTCTTCTAGTTTAGCCAGAAAACGCATTTAAATTTTGCAAAAAATTTTTTCAAATATCTCCAAAAATATTTTTGCTACAACATATTATCATATATTGGCAGAATCTGTGCATTCCCAGTGATCACAAAAAACACGTAGAATCACTCTATCTCTTCTAGTTTAGCCATAAAACGCATTTAAAGTTTTGCAAAAGATTTTTTCAAATATCTCCAAAAATATTTTTGCTATACAACCTATTATCATATATCGGCAGAATCTGTGCATTCCCAGTGATCACAAAAAACACGTAGAATCGCTCTATCTCTTCTAGTTTAGCCAGAAAACGCGTTTAAAGTTTTGCAAAAGATTTTTTCAAATATCTCCAAAAATATTTTTGCTACAACCTATTATCATATATCGGCAGAATCTCTGCATTCCCAGTGATCACAACAAACACGTAGAATCGCTCTATCTCTTCTAGTTTAGCCATAAAACGCATTTAAATTTTGCAAAAAATTTTTTCAAATATCTCCAAAAATATTTTTGCTACAACCTATTATCATATATCGGCAGAATCTGTGCATTCCCAGTGATCACAAAAACACGTAGAATCGCTCTATCTCTTCTAGTTTAGCCATAAAACGCATTTAAAGTTTTGCAAAAGATTTTTTCAAATATCTCCAAAAATATTTTTGCTACAACCTATTATCATATATCGGCAGAATCTGTGCATTCCCAGTGATCACAAAAAACACGTAGAATCGCTCTATCTCTTCTTGTTTAGCCAGGAAACGAGTTTACAGTTTTGCAAATGATTTTTTCAAATATCTCTGTGTATTCCCAGTGATCACAAAAAATACGTAGAATCGCTCTATCTCTTCTAGTTTAGCCAGAAAACGCGTTTAAAGTTTTGCAAAAGATTTTTTCAAATATCTCCAAAAATATTTTTGCTACAACCTATTATCATATATAGGCAGAATCTGTGCATTCCCAGTGATCACAAAAAACACGTAGAATCGCTCTATCTCTTCTAGTTTAGCCAGAAAACGCGTTTAAAGTTTTGCAAAAGATTTTTTCAAATATCTCCAAAAATATTTTTGCTACAACCTATTATCATATATCGGCAGAATCTGTGCATTCCCAGTGATCACAAAAAACACGTAGAATCGCTCTATCTCTTCTAGTTTAGCCATAAAACGCATTTAAATTTTGCAAAAAATTTTTTCAAATATCTCCAAAAATATTTTTGCTACAACCTATTATCATATATCGGCAGAATCTGTGCATTCCCAGTGATCACAAAATACACGTGGAATCGCTCTGTCTCTTCTAGTTTAGCCAGAAAACGCGTTTAAAGTTTTGCAAAAGATTTTTTTAAATATCTCCAAAAATATTTTTGCTACAACATATTATCATATATTGGCAGTATCTGTGCATTCCCAGTGATCACAAAAAACACGTAGAATCACTCTATCTCTTCTTGTTTAGCAAGGAAACGCGTTTAAAGTTTTGCAAATGATTTTTTCAAATATCTCTGTGCATTCCCAGTGATCACAAAAAATACGTAGAATCGCTCTATCTCTTCTAGTTTAGCCAGAAAGCGCATTTAAAATTTTGCAAAAGATTTTTTCAAATATCTCCAAAAATATTTTTGCTACAACTATCGGCAGAATCTGTGCATTCCCAATGATCACAAAAAACACGTAGAATCGCTCTATCTCTTCTTGTTTAGCCAGGAAACGAGTTCAAAGTCTTGCAAATGATTTTTTCAAATATCTCTGTGTATTCCCAGTGATCACAAAAAATACGTAGAATCGCTCTATCTCTTCTAGTTTAGCCAGAAAACGCGTGTAAAGTTTTGCAAAAGATTTTTTCAAATATCTCCAAAAATATTTTTGCTACAACCTATTATCATATATCGGCAGAATCTGTGCATTCCCAGTGATCACAAAAAACACGTAGAATCGCTCTATCTCTTCTAGTTTAGCCATAAAACGCATTTAAAGTTTTGCAAAAGATTTTTTCAAATATCTCCAAAAATATTTTTGCTACAACTTATTATCATATATCGGCAGAATCTGTGCATTCCCAATGATCACAAAAAACACGTAGAATCGCTCTATCTCTTCTTGTTTAGCCAGGAAACGAGTTCAAAGTCTTGCAAATGATTTTTTCAAATATCTCTGTGTATTCCCAGTGATCACAAAAAATACGTAGAATCGCTCTATCTCTTCTAGTTTAGCCACAAAACGCGTTTA